TTATCCCTCTCCATAGCACGTTGTGACCTATATTCAAAGGCCACGTTTTCAAGCCGTATATCACACTGGTCTGGTAACACACACTAAGTGAAGACTTTCGTCTTCGTATTCGACGATATACTTCTTTCTCGAAATTGCATCTAACTACCTAGCTGATCGTTTGTCCGAGATAGACATACTTACTTGTCAACAATCTCGAGAATCGAGCTCCTAACCGAAACTGGGTAAGGAGCAACATGGACATTCGACATAAGCTTCGTTTTTTCCATATTCATCTGAAGGCCTACCTGTTGGGAAACTCGATTAAGGTCTTCGAGCATTGTGATAAGGTCTTCCAACGGTTCTGCCTTAGTACGCAAAACAGACGGATGATGAGGCAGCAAGGTTCTGAAGTGGAGGCCACGTACCGGAAAGCGCAGCATAGGACTCATAACCACAAGGTGCAGGTAACATAAAGGTTGCAGGAAGGCGCTGGATACAGGCCGCCACCAACCGGCCATTGTGAAAATCAGCATCGGAGCCTGTGTTCAGCAGTGGACGTCCTATGGCTGACATATGGCTGGCTAGTGGTTTTGTGAGTTAATCATCGATAGTCAAAAAGGAACAAATTACAAGCATATTCAAGTTTTTACCACTCTCTACAATTTTTGTAACACGTGATTTGAATGACTCTAAAATTCGTTCCGCCAACATAAAACAGGGTAATATAATGAAGGAGTAAAAGTTTGTTTGATACCTGTGATTTTACAAAAACACTTTAATTATTTGCTAGTCCATATAGGCTCATTATCAGTAACCATTCATTATCAGTTGATCCGTCTGCTCGTTTGCCTCTTGTCACATAAACAACCAAATGCAATGGATACCCATAACGTAAAAATGGTTTTAAAATACTTCAATTTTATGAAGTGCTGTTTTGTACCAAATTAAAGATTTTGATTGGAATCATAATTTTATTGTAAACTATTCAGAATTCTTACGAATATAACCAAATATTAATTTTATAGCCAGTGGCGGATTAACGTATAAGCACTACAAGCACGTGCTTGGGGCCCCTGTTCTCCAGGGGCCTCTGCTGGCGCGCCAGCAGAGGATGGAGGCGTTTCATTTCATACCTACATTTTATAGAGATTTAGCCTATGTTACTCGTAAGTAATGTAGCTTTCAAATGGTGAAAGAATTTTTAAAAACGGTCCAGTAGTTTTTGAGCCTTTTCATTACAACCAAACAAACAAACTTTTCCTCTTTATAATATTATAGTGTAGATAAAGTAAAGCGCGTTTTCCCAAATATACAAGTGGCGTTTAAAGAAAGAAAGAAAGAAAAAATTATTACGATGAACATCACATACATGACAGAGAAAAAGACAGAAATGGCACATATAAATATTACAAGGAAATAAAAAGTGAACTGAGCAGTGAGCAGTGCGATCCTGTCGCAACAGCGATGCCCATCGCAATGGGATTCCACTCAGCATATGCCGTGGCCCACGGTGGGGAAGGCCACGACGCTGGTTTTCAGTGGGCCCCATGCCGAGTGGAAGTCACGGACACTAACCTAAACTGCATAATATCAACAAGGCCGTTTAAATCCTGACGTTTAAGGCCGACGATCTGGTAAAGGTCGCGGGAAGAGCCTGGATGCGGGCAGCGCAGGACCGTTCATTGTGGAAAACCTTGGGGGAGGCCTTTGTCCAGCAGTGGACGTCATTTGGCTGAAAAGAAAATTAAATCCTACTAATGTAATAAATGCGAAAGTTTGCATGTCATGATGTCTGGATGTTTGGACGTTTGCTCTGATTAAGGCAAGGAAAATAATGTTTTAAGTTTTACATTTTACCTACCACACTTTCTATTTTGATGAACTTTCATTTTATACTTTATACCTTCCATTCCATTCCTTCCATTTCCATTTAAGCAATAGAGGGCCTACACAGGCTCTGTGCTTAAGGCCTCGGATACTCTTAATCCGCCACTGTTTATAGCACATGAACTCAATTCCGATATTAATATCGGAATTCCGATATTGAGATCTAATATCGGAATCCAATATCGGAATTGAAAACCTTCCGATATTACATGCCCTAGTGTATATTGTATAAGTGCCCTATGTACCTACTGAATAAACTATTTAAAAAATACAACGGTGAACGCAAAATAGCGGTCAAAATCTAGTAAAATCTATAGGAGAATCACGATTTGAAAACTTACCTATTATTAAACATCAGTGTGCCTACCATGAGTTTACGTTAGGTGTGCTCGCTAGCGACTGCGTAAAAAAATGACATTTAAATGTATGACATATTGTGCAGCGCCCCTAGCGGCTACTTTCAAGAAATAAAATCTTCATAGAATTTTTTGACGTATTCGCTAGCGACCTCACCTAACGTAAACTCATGGTAGGCACACAGAACAAGGACATTTATTTCGGAAATGATACACATATTTTATTTTACAAGATAATTTATTAAACAGACCATACAACTGAAATACTTTAGCTATAGCTACTCTAGTGATACTTTTGTTAAATTATAATAATTAAAATACCTTAGGTATTCTTTAACTCAACATTTATGAAGAACAAAGATAGCTGGTAGGTACCTACTTTTAATTTTACTCATTGCACTATAAAATATTTTGTTCTAATCAAATCAAATAAAAATTGAATATCTATAACAAATAAAAAACGTAAATGAGTCTTCTCTTTGAAAAAAATAAAAAGTTTATGAGTTAGATCAAAAAATAATTTGAGAATAATCTTAGAAGTAAGTAATCGTAAACAGACAGTAATGGATGAGTTTTAAAAAATTTAACATTGATAGAATGCACATCTAAGACAGTTTAACAGACCAAGAAATCATTATTCTTTCGTGACAAAACTCTTGAAACACAGATTGTCATTGAATTAAAAAGAAGGGGACCACAAGTTTGTGTGACCCTGAAGCATCAGTGTAGGCCAAATAGATTCATCTCTGACAAATTAGAGGATCGTGTGCCTGCCAAAGACCAAGTGATCCGATGATGATTCATTTTTAAGCGATTCAGACTTGGTCTGGGTGCCGCTTCATCATATGGTAGCTCAAACTGGCTTTCTGCACGAATTTCTCTCCGCAAACGATACACATCTTCCTCTTATCCCCAGTATGGATTCTCTCATGCCGGATGAGCGTATGCATCCGTAGAAATATCTTCTTACAGAACTTACACTCGAACTTCTTAACAGGATTAATATGATTTGTTATGGTCTTCTAAAATCAGCTTTTGGAAGCAGTTCAGACTTGGTCCGGGTGCCGCTTCATCATATGGTAGCTCAAACTGGCTTTCTGCACGAATTTTTCTCCGCAAACGGTACACACCTTTCTCTTATCCCCAGTATGGATCCTCTCATGCCGGATGAGCGTGTGCATCCGTGGAAACATCTTCTTACAGAACTTACACTCGAATTTCTTAACCGGATTATGCCTGACCTGATGGTCCCTCATTTCGTAGATGCTAAAGAATTTCTCACCGCATTCCGGGCAAGGCACTGTCTTTTCGTTCATATGCACCCTTCTCTGGTGGCTAACAACGATGAATTTGTTATAATGCCTATACCCACACACCCCACAAGTGGGCATCGGCACACCATGCTCGTCAGCTCTATGATAAACCAGCTCCATCTTGTGGAATTTTTGTGAACACTCCGGACAGTCGAATAACTTGTGTATGTAAATATGCTTCTTCATCTTAAACACAGACTCGAATTTCTTATTGCAATGCTGACACGTAGACGCGACGTTATTGTGTATGTTTTCAATGTGACTTTTCAAGTGAGATCGTTGCTTGTAGACTCTGGGGCAATGTTCGCACGCGAACCCGTTTTTGACCGGGTCCTTCGACGCATCTGAAATTAAAATATTAGAGTTGTTTAGTGCGCATACTTATAGAAGTATACAATCATTAATATTCGACTGTAGAGATAGTATGGGGCGAGTACTTATCAATTGAATTTTAGAGCCAGACACAGTCATATCATATCAATCATAAGGTCGTGTATAAGTTCGAAAACATTAGTGTATTAGAAGTTTTGTGAGTATTTTAGCGTAGTTTTAGTGTAGGTATTTAATTTAATGTTTAGGCGAGAATGATTCGTTCTTTAAATTATTGTAGATTTTAAACGGTCATTCGAAATAAAAAATGATAACAGGAACCTTATGATCATAAAAAGAACGAATACGTATGCGTACTAGACGTGAATTTAGCCTGTGACCCACCTGGGAATCAAACCCAGAACCTAATAGTCACGAGTCTCAATCTCGTACTACTGAGGGTCTAGACAAACTGCAAATTATAATCGCAAACCAGTCGAAAAGTGGTCGAAAAGCCCCTTTTTTGTATGGAGTTTTGACGGATTCGATTTTCGATTCGATCAAAAAGTGCGTTTTGTCTAGGGGGGCTGGACTATGAAGGTATTCAGAGTGTCGACTATCGTCTGTGTTCTCTCATATAGTAACTCGTTGGGCGCCAGTTTATTGAGACTACATCATTACAAACCAGTTGAGTTAACTGCGCACTTGGCGGCCGTCACGCGATGCGACGTCACATTGACGCACTGAATGTGTGCGGGTAAGAGTAGGCGCACACCGTTGATTTCTAGTCGGCCGATAGTTGTGCCCGATTTTAAATTGAATTAGGAATCGGCCAAATTGAATCGGCGTAGTGTGCGCACTCCCATACTGATCAACAGCCCGAGTAAACTATCGGCCGACGAAAAATCAACGGTGTGCGCCTACTCTAAGTGGGAGGGAGAGTTGCATTCCTGCGAGGTGCGCAGTTAGCTTGATCAGACTGTAAAGCTACTATTTATTTTGGGATATCATTTTTGAGATAATGAAATTATGTTTAACAAAATACCACTTTTGTTGCATTTCAATAATTCATACATAAAGTTACTCGTACCTATACCTAAAAGCCGAATTAATAATATACATTTGTGTTCTTTTTAGAAATAAAACACCATTAATCTTAAGAAAATACGTATATTATTGGAACGGCAACTTACAGAATTTTCAGTAAAATACCACAATATAGTTAACATGAACGCAATCTTTGTGACATTTCTTTACATGGTATAGTCAGCGTCAAATTGTTCGTGACACCCAAAGTGGCCAATCGATTGACAACAAAATCAAAATCATAAATACTTTATTCAATTTAGACCACTATTAGTGGCACTTATCATAACACAACCTTATTCCAATTGTAACAAAGACGTGTAACGAATCTTTTGGCACTTTGGGTGTCACGACACGAATTATTTGACGTTGACTGTACTAACTTATGATCTTTAAATAAAAAATTAAAAAAACCCCAACGCAAAAAAATAAAAAAACTTGATGAAAAGTAAAAAATAAGGTTATCTAGTTGAAATGGCGCCAGTAAGGTTGAAAGTTACAATATCGGCCGCTTATGTAAGTCAGCAGACCATTTCATTTATGTTGGGGGTTTTCAAATTATTAATTACATTTTTATTTGCAATTTAATCATCAACTAATCATTAATTCAACATTCAAATTTGTAACGCACATCCTCACTCGGGTAATTTTACCCAAATAAATTTTGAACGGCTCAGCCGATTTTCATCAAACATAGCTAAGAACACTTGCGCTTGAAAAACTTTTCATACAAAAAAAAACAAAATGAAAATCGCTTCAGTCGTTTAGCAGCTATGATGTCATAGACAGAGAACCCCTCTTTTTTCAATCAAATATAACAAAAATGCAACAAATAATGCGTTCATTAGGTGTCTCCAACTCGTATGGCCAGAGCTTGAGGAGTGTAATCAAATTCCTCCATTTACCTTTGGTAAATAAGATAGGGCTTATGTAGTGGAGACTACATGACCTGAGTCATGTAGTCTCCACTACATGAGGCTTAGTGTGAGTTTACTTCAAACGTCGTCACTAGTGAGCGGCGGCGTGAGAGCGTAAAAAAATGGCATTAAAAGTATGACTGATTGTACAGGGCCCTTAGTGGAAACTTTGAAGAACTAAAATTTTCATACATTTTTTAATGCGCTCACTAGTGAGGACTTTTAACGTAAACTCACACTCAGCCCACTGTAAGGCCTAGGACGCGCGTCGCGATAAGCTTTATCTATTTTACGTGATAATACGTTTGTCGTCTGAAATAATCGATAACATTTTATCACGGCGCGCATCTTAACCCATATGATCCCTATTAATGATGATCATAATTAATAGGGAGGGATGTTTCTTAGGTAAAAAAGCAATAGTTTAAATTACTCCTTCAGTTAACTTATCAAAAAATACTCGACACGTACACTTTTTCAAACTAATGAAAATTGAAAGAGATAAAGCGCGAGTTCAAAAGAAGATGCCCGTGAAGTCAAAGCGTGCTTAAGTGTAGCACTTTGTGACGTCACACAGAACTTCAACGCACTATAATTTCGTAATTACATGTTTGATTGACAAATAAAAATACACGTGTCCAATATTTTTTATAATAGCGCATTAAAAGTTTTTTTTTAGGAATCTAGCTTATTAAACTTTTTCCGGATGATACTTCTTCATATGGTAACTCAGACTTGCCTTCTGAACAAACATCTGCCCGCAAACCTCACACTTTTTCCTCATATCCTTAGTGTGAATCTTCTCATGCCTACTCAGGGTATGATTACGCGGGTATGTCTTATTGCAGAATCTACATTTAAACTTCATCACTGGATTGTGTTTCACCTGATGCAACTTCAAGTATCCGTTGTCGAAAAACATTTCCCCGCATTGGGGGCACTGGACGTTTTTCTCTTTCAAGTGCACGCGCCTTTGATGCTCCACTAACAAGTGTTCTGTCATACACTTATACCCGCAAACACCACAAGTGGGCAACTTCTTAGGCAGGCCGTGAACTTCAGCCTTATGACGCTGCAGCTTTTTCTTCATAAAACCTTTAGCACATACGTTGCATTCAAACAGCGTGTGCACATTCTTGATATGGTAGTCCAGTCGGGTCTGGTTTCCAAACTTTTTCTTACAAAAGCAAGTCGTAGTCGTGGCGTTTTCTAAGTGGCTTTTGTATATGTGATCTTTCACTTTGCCCGGCTTGTCCTCTTTTTTGCCGCATTCGATGCAGGTGTATGACTTACATATCTTACTGTTGCTCAGGCAGACAGTGGAACCAAGCAATGCCGAGTTCGTTGGTGCATCTGAAATTAAAATTTGTATTTACTTTTCTTTGACTATTAAATAACGCAGTGTTAGGTTTGCAGAGATGTATTTTTTGTCCACAAGAAGAACACTGGAGGTATTAAAATTGAAGAAGCCATCGTAAATAGTGGAGTAAGCAAAAACATAATTAAATTATACAAAAAATTTACTAGTAAGTAGCTTTTGGTTAGGAATAATATTCTCACTAAAAACGCAATGGTCGTAACTTTCAGACGTATCGCTCCTTTCGTTAAATCACTACGTTTTACGATGTTTTTTCCCTTTCTTTGTTACCGTTGAGTTACACCTTTGTTTTACGCATTTTGCTGTTGCTCATTGGGAAAAAAAATATGTAATAGAGTTAATTGCGCACCTGGCTGCCGTGACGTCACATCGCCGCTCTGGTACGGACGGGGCGAACGCGGGGAGGTGTGCAGGTAAGTGGGAGGGAGAGTCGCATTCCAGCGAGATGCGCAGTTAGTATTGTAGTAGTTACTTCGCTCCGTGAAACGATTTCGAAATTAAAACCGTTACAAAAAATAATGTTCATTTTGTTTAAAAGGGCTGATTAGTTAATTTAGTTAAATGTTGTAAATAATGAAGCGATTTCTTTAAAATAATGCTAAATCTAAAATGCAAGTAAGTAGGTAGGCAAAAGTGTCAGCTTACTATGGGTTTTTATAGTTTTGACATTTGTCAAAGACCAAAGTTAAAATAGAGATGGTGCAACCCAGCCTATAAGTAGCAAAATTAAATGTACTGTGGCTTATTATATTTTGGGGTAAAGATTTAAAAACAAATAAGAATACAATAGCTCAGTAATGAATTAGTGTAATCAATATAGTTAACAAACTATTTTGGATTTAGTTAACATGATACTTAACAGTAAAAAATAATATGATGACATGTATTTCACTATGTTTTAAATACAGCAATTTTGGGCAAATAAGTTTTTTAAGTATGCACTCTTACGCCCGTTTTTACAAACAATACTTGCTTAAGTGAAGCAGCAAATCGAAAGGAGAGCGTTGAATAGAGCTCTGTGATTGGTTCGCGTGTCATATGCGTCCACGCGCACTGTGAGACCTCATAGTAATGTTCGTGAATACGGGCGTTAGACACTTTAGGTAAGTATTGTAGGGGCAGAGTAAATACAAATGAGTAGGTCATCTTCATAGAAACGCACCGAGCACGGTTTGTTTGTGAGCGCGCTAATACGTATGCGGCGCGCACGCACACAACAAAAAACAAAATTCGGCGCAACTCCCCGCTAATCCACGCTAAATTTTGTCAGTGTGTGCGTGCGCGCCGCATACGTATTGGCGCGATCACATACAAACCGCGCTCGTTGCGTTTCTATTAAGATGACCTACTCATTTGTATTTACTCTGGCGACGGTGACGTCACATCGACGTTCTGATTCGGATGAACGGGGCGAATACGGGGAGATATACGGGTGAGTGCGAGGGAGTCGCATTCCAGCGAGGTGCGCAGTTAGCTCAATCGGTTGTAACCAGGGATGTTATGGATATCCGTAACCGAAACTATCGGATATCCGAATTAAAAAAATATCCGTAACCGTAACCGATTCAAAAGTTTCGGATAGTTTCGTATAAAGGCGGAGTCTAAGTCTAAATCTTAATATTTGTTACTTGTCTGGCATTCCCTGGCACCATCTAATATCCCCGCCTGTTTTACCTTGATCATAGGTGTCGTCATGGTAACTACATAAAGTGGCTATGTGGGTCGCACAGCATCTTGCTATTTGAATTTAACATTTTTAAAATTATAATATCCGTAACCGAAATTATCTGAAACTTTCGAATAATCCGAAATGATTTCATATCCGTAACCGTAACCGGTATAATATTATTCTAATATCCGTAACCGTATCCATAACCGAAACTTCATATCCATAACATCCCTGGTTGTAACATTCCCAGCTGCTTTCCACAGGCTTATAGGCTTTTCCTACGTTACAAAACACACCTAAGCAAAGTCCGGGTGTTTCTTCATAAGGTGATACTTGAGACTGGAGGACTGAACAAACGCAGCGTCGCAGACGTAACAAAAATGTCTCTTGTCGTTTAGATGCATCATATGGTGCGAAGTCAGGTTCTTTTTCCACTTGAAAGTTTTGTCACAATACTGGCACTGGTACGGTCTTTCCGACGAGTGAGACGGCAAATGCCTTTTCAGGTAGGATTGGTTCTTGAATTGCATATCGCATTCGGTACAAGAATACAGCTTCTCATTCATATGGTCCAATTTCTGGTGCTGGATCACCTGAAAGGTTTTGGAACGTTTAACCTTTGTTCGGCAGGAAAGTTCTCGAGTGGCGACCACGGGCTGGAAGACGTAGCGTGGGCAGGCCTCCTATTAGGTGGGCCGACTATCTGGTAAAGGTCGCGGGAAGAGCCTGGATGCGGGCAGCGCAGGACCGTTCATTGTGGAAAACCTTGGGGGAGGCCTTTGTCCAGCAGTGGACGTCATTTGGCTGAAACGAACGAACGAACCTTTTATTCTATTCGTTAGTTATGACGTCTACTGCTGGACAAAGGCCTCCCCCAAGGATTTCCACGACCGGTCCGCACTTTTCGCGACCTTCACCAGATCGTTGGTCCACCCAGTGGGAGACCATGAAGGAGAGATTGTTCTATAGCAGGGGTGGCCAACTTGATTAGACATAGATCTACTGTTTACTAACGAAACCCTGGGCATCTGCCACTTACATACTTCTTGAAATCTTAAATGAAACAGCATAGTTTAGTACACAATCATGTAATATTTTTGCCTTGCCACGATCGACTGCACTAATAGTCGCAATCGACCGGCTGGCCACCCCTGTTCTATAGCATAGGCCATAGGCTATGGTCAGTCCTGTTGTCCTCCTGATTGCCCCTCCTGGAGGAGACAATAGGATTGATCCTGTTGTCTCCCTGGGAACAACAGGACTGCACGACGGCAAATTAGGGACATGTAAGTTAAAAAAGTTACTTATTGAAAGTATCAAACTACGAAAGATCGCTACTCAGTCATTCAATTCTTTGTTACTTAGCCATGTCTAAATTAGTTATTTGGACATTAGATTTGATTGATTGGATTAGTTCATTTGATTTTAAAAGCATGTTTCAAGCAGGCTACAAAGTTACTTGAGAGCTGGTCACATGGGTTGACAGATCTCTGATCTTTAAACTAAAACGTGTAAAACCGTTTTTTAAAAGACAATTTGCGGAAAATAAATTACTTCTAAATGGACAGCTAAAAGACTACCTGGAAAGGGAATGCGAATTTCTTCCCGCATGCCAAGCACTGCGGCCTTGGGATGCCGTGAGCTTCCTCCAAATGCTTCGTACGCAAGTAGGTGCGCACTTTCGCTGGACACAAGTAACAGCCATACAACTTAGGCCGCTTCTTTAGGTGCACATCTCTATAGTGCTGCGAGAACAGTCCCAGCTTCCCAAAGGGCTTTCTACACCAGCTGCATATGAACTCTTTGACCCCGTCGTTTTCCTTGAGGATGTAAGGCATCAATTTTTGGTCAGCGCACCCTAAAAAAGAAAGATAGGGTGAGCATCTTGCTGGTATTTGAACCTACTAATGCAGGGTACTCATCTAGCCGTGTAGCATGTAATGTATCAGATACTGTATCAAGCTACTGCTCGCGCGTGGTTCGTAGCGACCCGCCGAGTGGCGGTATCACTGCAAGCACAAAGGCGGCTCGCAGTAGGATCCAGGAGCTCGCAGCCAGATACGGGATGACCGTGGACGAGCCGTGCCGTACTCACTTGAAGGTTGGTTACATGCTACGTTACGTGCTACATGGCAGGTGAGTACCCTGCCTAAGATTACCAAGGTCCACTTTTGGATCTCCGGCCGTAACTACACTCCGCGTCAATGAAATCGCACTTCCCGCGACAATAGCTTTAAGATTTTCTTCTAACACAAACATGGTTCTCCATAAATATTGGTGTTATTTGAAAGCCCAATAAATAAACTAAATAATGATCTCCCGTGTCCTCTTTAACAGATGGAGCGATTAATCCCAACTTAACAGTTTAATAATCATAAAAGTTGGCTCAAGCGTAACTACCTGTCGCTTTAAGAAGAGACACTGGATCCTAATAAAGATACATTTTAAGCGTACGCTTAAAAGTATGTCGCGGGAGGTGCCGGTGCTTTGACGCCGTGTGTATAATAAGTTTTGAGCTCATAATCAAGATACATTTTGGAATTCTTACTAACCTTCATAGCATCCTATCATTTTCGACTTATTCTAAATTCCACATGACACGATTTCTTTCGGAATAATATGAGCGATTTTCTAGCCTAGGCAGCTGGTAGAACCATTTATATTATTTACGGTTTTTAGGTTGGTACTTTGTGCATACTTAGGGTTGTAATGTCATGTAAGGATTTGCCACACTGTATACGGTCTGCGGTCAAAGTAATCTGACCTGACCGCAGACCGCATCCAGTGTGACATATCCTATAATAAGGTTAATGAAAGTCAGTGTTTAATTTTCAGTTAGTTGTATTATTAAGTAAGTAGGCGTTAGGGGGTAGCCCCCTAGGTCCACCATACAGTGAATATTCCCATAGAAAAGACAATAATTCCAAATTTTTGTATCGCAGCTATCCTTAAATCTTTAAAAAGATCACCAGCAATATCCCAAGACTGCTGGATCAAAAAAATAGAATAATCTCCATTCTCTATTTGACTCTTAACGCCGGTATTCACAAAAATGAGGCTATGAGGTCTCACAGTGCGCGTGGACGCATAGGGTGACACACGTGCCAATCACAGAGCTCTATTCAACGCTGTGCGTTCGATTTGCTGCCTCACTTAAGCAAGCATTGTTTGTGAATACAGGCGTAAGTAAATCAGCAGTGGAGTCTACATGAGCTGATGATGATCTCCATTCTTGCCTGCCATTGATCAAATCAGTAATGGTTCCGCAAAGTGTGCTGTTTAACCGACGACTTCTGCACAAATGCT